AGAATATTAACAGAGCAAATTTAACAAACCTGGAAGAATTGACAGAAATTTCAATTTCCTCCAACACAGAAGAATAAACAGGCTCGGTATCATACGCGAAAGCTCGAATTGGCAAAGATCGGGAAATATGTAGGAACGGTTTCTAATATTTGAGAACGTAAATTCGCGGATTCGAATCGACAGATGGGCGGGATTGTTTCAGTGTTTTTATTTGAAAAACGTTTAAATATCACGAGCTTTCGTTTGGCCACGGTGCACGAGCCTCGAGTAAATACACGCGAATAGTAGCAATGATAACCGCAGCTCGGGCAATTTCCAACCTTCTCCACCCTTTCTCTTCTGATCTTTCAATTACAGCGATTCCATCGCTAAACCTAGCCACGAGCGAGCCGTTCGAGCAGTTCCACCATATTTTCTTCCTTTCTTTTCTTTCTCTTTTTTTCCACTGCCAAACGAGTCTATTTTCTTCTGGATGTTTCACGAGACAAGCTTGCCGGGAGACCGGAATTTTTAATTACGCTATGCACAGAAGTAATCTCCTGCGAGCCACGAATTTCCTCCTCTTCCGCCCTCTAATTATCCGTCCTCCACGCGAAATAACGCGATTCTCCCGGCTGGTATTCGATGACGAGGGTGAAATTGTACGTCGACGAAAGAAAACGGAATACCCGGAGCGGTGTGTTTCCCTCTGTAATTGTTCTCGGTAGATTGCCGTGCAAAATGGCTCGTTTTTTGTCGAACAAGGATAAGTGGAAAATGTTTCATTGAACGGGCAAGTGTAAGCAGAAATTGCTTCGAGATATTCTTAAATGTTAATTTCGTGTAATTATTTTTGTATTCTGATTTATTAACGTGTGACTTACGAGGAGAGAGCAGATTTTAAGAAGTATCAAGAAGTAAATATTTTTCATTACATTGTATTCTCTTCTCTTTTACATTCTCTGGTGTCTCTTGTATTAAACTAATAAACTTCACTTGAATTATGCACTTTATTACCGTCTATTACTCCTTTAATACATGACGTCACACTATCATCAATGTTCTCGCAGTAACAACACTAAAAGTTTCAAGGGTAACCCTAAGCCCTCCATAAACCCAAGTTTATGGTTCCACTAACTTAACCATATAGCTTTCACGAGCCCAGAATCACGCCTATTGGACCGAATCTCCTCGGATCGTTCGAAATAATTACAAAAAAGGTTCCATGAAACGAAAACTGAATCAGATTTGAAATACATGAATACTCTGCCCAGAAATATTGAAATTTTTTTCAAATTTAATACTTGGAGATAATAATCTCTTCTGCATTGTATCTTAGACAAATTAGTTTGTTTGCAAATAATTTAAACGAAAATATTGATTTTTCTCACGAATCTTTCCCTTCGTTTCGAATTTTTATTTCGTCCGCTTTACACAATATTATAAGTTTTATTGTAGTTGACTGTAATTTAGTGCTTGTCTCCTTCGACTGTAACATAATCTCTTAGATAACAAAAGATTTACGCTCGTGATATTAAATCATCCTCCACCTTAAGCTTCATTTCAAACCTCCGAAAAGAATCATTTCGAACAACTTCCAGGAACACCCAGTATATCATAGGCAACGTAGATTATCATCGAACAGAGAATCCTTCTTCAGCAATTCTTCCTCTAACACATAACGAGGATTCAGCGAATCTTGGCCGAGCGGAATCGAAAGAAAAGTGCACTCGTCAGCTAGGAGAAATTGCCTAAATGGCGCGTCGCTCGTCTTCCAGATATTCCTCGATGAGAACTTCTTTCACACGCGACATGAAACACGTCGTAAGATTTTCACGCGAGAACTCGTTGAGACAGCTCGCGTGGAAAATCGATCGGCGCTTAATCCCCGCGCCTTGAATTTCCTTCCAGACTCACGCACGCCGGCCGCATTCTTCCGCTAAAGGAATTTCAATTTTCTGAAACCGTTCCCCGTTGCCAACTGGTTACTATCTCTCGAGCGTTGCTTCCGAACTCGATCATATTCACGGTTCCAACGATTTTCCAGTTCTCTCGCGCGCTGTGCAACCACCGAAGCGGACTCATTATCCGCCTCGGCGACCTTACCAGGCGAATTCCTTCTAATCATTGTGCCGGAGTGTCGCTTCGACGTATTATCCACTCTCTTGTCATCGCTACTTTGATTACATTCCAGAGACTTGTCCAATTACGACCGTTTATGGTGTGTTACATGAACGTTCGCGCGAAATTGGAGTAATCGTTAGTTGTCAAGGTTGGAAATTGAAGTCCGTGGCTGCCACGTTTGATATCATTTTTTCATTCTATTTGGAAGCTTTGGATCAGAAGCTAGAAGATTTTAGTTAGTTGATGGAGGAATTTTTTGAAGATTGGCTAACGTTGATTTTGAAAAGGGAAATTAAAGGGAATTAGAGGAAAATATTTGAGGTTAGAACTGGAGGAATTTATTTTAGGTGGGAGCTAGGGGAAATTAGTTTAGGTTAATGGAATGCATCGGTGAAGAACATTTTTCCAAATCTCAAATCTGTTTTAACTAACAATTATGCGAATCATTTTAGGGTAACATTATTAAAAGGACGGTTAGCAGCAATCAAATGAAATGTTCAATCTTAAACGTTCAAATTAATTTCGAAATATAATTAATCCTTCAAAAAATTGCAAGTTTAAAAAGGAATAAAGTGTAACACCTTATATTGCAAACCGTTACTTTTGGCACGTGACAATGCAAATAAACGGAAAGGAACAAACGACAATTCTTTCACACCCTAATCTCAAACATTCTCCTCTGCCGCCTCAAATCTTCGAAACTCAGTCGCTGGCTATAAACATTCCCACGAAATTCCCGTTCCTACAATACGTAACTAAACTTTGCAAACGCCTCGCTCTCCTCTTCGAGTCCGCTTAACTTCGCACCGTCGCGCGGCACAAGCATCGAAATCTACCCTTCGAGTGTCAAACAGCAACCTCTAATTCGTTTCTTGGTTGCACGTAAACCGCGTTAGTCGAGCCGTACCTATAAACAGTCGGAGTATCTCGCCGGAGCGTTAATCGAGAAGGTTGGGAAACATCGTGAACGGAATAACGGCGGGTTGGGAACGGCGTCGAGAACGATGAAATAAAAAAGACTAACGGATAATGGCAGGAGTGGCGCGGCACGGTTCATAGCCGAAATTCAATTTCACTCGCGAAATTTCACGTCGCGAACTATGAAGTTGCGCCTTCCGGATTATATTCGCGGCCCGTGTCTCGCGATTCCATTTGCGCGTCCCGGTTTCGCCGCCGACAGAGCGGAAAACTCTGATTAGCGCTAACTGCGGAACACGTTTAGATGGACGAGCAACACGAGTATACTGAAATTTCAGGATGTCTCGCTTCGGCGAGTGTTAATTGGTGTTGCCTTCGGGATGAACGATTGTATTGCGGTTGTAACAACTGATTAGCGAATGCACGAGTGAAATTCTTAGTGAAATTCGCGGGAATTGGCGAAATTTTGGGGATACGTAATTTATGGATTAACAGGAAATTCGAAAATTAACGGGATTAATATCGAATTGAAATTAGAGAGGCAGTTTAAAATATTGAATTATAGAAAGATATCTATTTGGGTTGGAATGGGTTCAATTCTTGACACTTCAATTTTCTTTTGCGCATATTGAGCATTGAGTCGAATAACTTTTTCTGTCGGAAACTGTCTTTATGGATTAACGCTACATTAACAAGGACTTAAAATTAAAAAGACACGTTGCAATATTAAATTATAGAAAAATATCGTTATGGGTTGAATTCTTGACACTTTCATTTTCTTTTGCACACATCGAGCATTGAGTCGAATAACTTTTTCTCTTTTAACGAAACTTCCATTTGCGAACACTGTCTGAAGTATTTAATAATAATAAAAATCGTCAATTTTGACGTTGTTATATTTCCTAAAACATTCAATTGAAAATTTTCCAGAGACTTCGACTTCGAAAAACTCATGCTTGTTGCACATTTCGCGAACCGGTAGGCCAATTTAGATCATTGGTAGGAAGTTCGCGTGGCTAGTTCGGATCTGATGGAACTCGGTGCATAATTAAAGCGCGACTTCATGAAAGGAATCCCCCGAGCGTGTGGCTGAGAAAAACCGTCGAGTTCGCGTGTAACGGCTAACGGTCCTAAACACGTTGCGAACGAGCCCAACGGGAAGCATTTTCCGTACGAACAAGTTAGCCTTTTGGGAAAGCAGATAAACTGCTGTTTATTCCCTCGAAAGGGAGCTTTATAGTTTACTATAATCCTAATAATCCTTGCATCCTGCGATATACTAGCGCCATTAATTCCGTCTCATGAATGTATCATTTAAGAAGCATTAAACGCTTCGACGAAGACATTATTGTCGATTAAAGGGATGAAATTGTCGTCTTCCCACTAACCTCCATTTTATCTCACAGCTATCAAATATTTATCGGCATTGCGATCGCCCGTATTCCAGCACAAACAGATGTAATCTTTTCCCGTCAGTTATGTAGCAAGAAGTAATACACTTCTTCTCTAAAATTAAGATCCTACCGATCACTTATTCTCTCAATTTTCTAATATTCTTTCTCCGCCTCGAAATATAATTTCACAACAATGAAACACGACAACCTAAAAATTTCCAAGTGAACCATATTCAACCTAAATCACCCCATTTCCACCTTCTTCAAAATCCCTCTTCCAGGTCGATGTAATCAAGAGAAAAATAAAATCTCCCGCTTCTTCCTACGTTTCTCTCTCCAATTACACGAAGAACGAGGAAGAGAGAGGCCGACTTCTGCTCGGGTTCGAGCAAGTAGTTCGTAAAAACTTTCTGACCGAAGTGGTCACGGTTAAAGGGAGGAGAAAACAGACAGCGAGTGTAGGAGATGGAACGTCAGTTTCTTTCTCAAGATTGTTTAGCGCTACTGACTAGCGAGATACGGTAGAGTTCCATCGACCGGCAAACATTCCGACGACGAGAGCCCAGGAAAATTTGTTCGACTTACTCGACCATGTCGGAATCCTTGGCCACACGGCAGTGAACGCCACGATCCACCAGGCATTTTCCGCTCACAGGATCCGGGGGCGCGAGATTGATGTAGGGTGGCTCCTCCAGGAAGGTTATTTTCAAATAAAATTTCTCCGGCACCCCTTGAGGAGGCGTATGGGTATTTCCTGGCCAGACGATGTCCTTGATGTCCAAACCCTCCTTCTCCCACGATTTCCAGACGCCGATCTGTTGGCACAAATGAGAGGAAAAATTGATAAATCGACGGTCGGTTTGTTCCTTTCGATAAGCGACCCGTAATACGGGTTTATCGTGGCCTTCAATATTCTCCAGTTAATATCGCGCCCATTTTTTCTCCGTTCTTGCCTGTCAAGCACACATTTTCGGCGTCTAATTAACCATTTATTGCAAGTGAATTTATTTATTTCCTTTTTTTAGACAGGTGGAAACGGTGTAATTCTTTTACTCGGGAAAATTTGCAGCAATTGAACGAGGAATGAATGAAATTAAAGGTAATATGGAATGGAATGTACTTGTGTAGGTGGTTATCGGAATTCAGACGTAAATTATCTAGGGAACAGTTGTTCTTTTATCATTGAATTTTTTTCACATTAATTTCAAGCTGCTAATGTTTTCTCTTCGTTCTTGTGCTAATTGAAACTTTTTACCAGCAGTGCATACACTTGAACATTTCCAGGAAGCTTAATTTGATATTTCTTGTTTGACGAAAGAGGAGAATGAAAAGCTTGGATTAGATTTTTCTTTTTCTTTTAGAAAAAACTTTCGCCACTTTATCAGCGGCTTCGTGATTACCCCTTGGAGAGAGAAAAAGGAATGTGGAACATTTTCTTTCGGATTTACTTCTGATAAATGCGGAAGAAAAGGCGGTTTAAAGAACGGTGAATAATACAGCTGTTTATTGCCGTAATGCAACTAATTACAGGAAAAAGAGAAAAGGTGGGAATTAGTTGGTCGCAGGTTATTTCCCGTCAGTGGAGCGATTTTCTTCTCTGTTTTTAGTTTTTCTGCCGTAAGAAATGAGCACAGGAGAGTTATGGAAACTGGATTTAAAGCGCGGTCACAGAGCGACGTGATGTTCGCTGCAACCCGTCGGTGCGAAAATCGTTTTTAATTTGCTCCTTTTTTTTCAACTGCACAGAAACCAGATATCGCGACGGTGAATTTCTCTGTAGTTTCGACCGCATCGAGAAACACGGACGAACTAAATAAAAAGCGAAGCCTGTGTTATAGGTATTAAAAAGAAAATCTGTACGCTATCGATTTTCTGTTTCTTCTTTTTTTTTTTGGTACGAATTTCGCCTCCAAAATAGTGTATTTTGCAGTATCGTCTAATATTCTAGAAAATTTTTACTTATTCTCAGGTGAATCGTTTTTACAATTTTTCAGTACATCAAGTTTATTCGAATCGTGTAATTACAATTTCTGTGAATTATTCTTAAATTGAGTAATTATGTTTACGTAAGAGGCAACGAATTGGACATGTTTTCCCCTGAAATCCTGCAAACGATGAAAGCTGTATAACGCGTAAGTTCCGCCATTATCGTATTTCGTCGCGCGAAAATAAGGATCACGCGGAGAATTAATGACGTTCTAAGGGTTCGAAATCCTCCTCTGATTTAATTACGAAGTTTCACTTCAAGTTGCCCCATTTTCCTGGCTACGCGTTCTCCATTTTGTTTTCCAACGATAAAACACGATCAATCTTAGAAAGCTGATTTAACGCGATTTACGAAAATTTATCGGTAATCCTTGTAATACACATCCTCCTCATTGTAGGAATTACGGGAATTTTTGACAGGCTTCGATCGGCTCGTTAAAACAGAGAAGGAAAGTATCATACGAACAAATATTTGTCACAGTTATTTGTGTGTCCTCTTGACACGGGTCAATCGATACTATTTTATTTAATCCGAACGAAAATATTTTCCCATTGGTCGTTCAGACGCGAAACAAGCACAGTAACAGCACGCAAAGTCAATTTATCTCGTAATTTTCTCACAGAAATACGTTTCAATCACAGAAACCTAAAAAACTTTTCGAGAGCGCAAAAATCAATTCTCTCCGTTCGAAAGTTACGCAAGAAAGACTCATGGACCGAATGAATTCTTTAAATCGTTGGCAAAAATTCATCAGTAACATCCACCGCGATTAATTAAACAGCAAAGCGTACGAATGCCTCCGCTCACAGTTACGATACTCATCGATCAGTTGTAAAAGTCAGTAGGAAACCGATAAAGCACCGTGAACTCGTCGATGCGAATTAAAAGCGGACAAACTATTGGCTGTATCGTTGCCTCGTTGATCCCCTTCTCTCTCGACCGAGCCGAATTTATTTAACGAAGAACCGAATCGTTTCGCTGGCCGTCGAATCCTTCTTTAAA